TTCCTTGTACTATTGTATCAATCTATTTACTAATATCATTTTAACAACTTGCAAATTTTCCCTCTTTCTGAATGTTTCCGTTTATTATTTTATTTTTATTTCACTTAATTATAAATTTATTATATTATTATGTTTATGCTTTACTTATTTAGGCAATAATATAATACAATATAAAAGTAATATCTAGTTTAAGAATTCCTTATATATTATGCGCAATATTCTACCTGCGAATAGAATTCGTAGGCAATTATAACTTTGTATATTATTTAGAATGTCAACAACATTCGTAACATTCAAGGAAACTTGCGAGCAGCTTCTCAGTGTTCGAGAAACAGTCGCCAAATATACATCTAAACCGTGTAAAGAGAACTATTTTATTTTTGCTCAGATATCGTATCTCACACAAAAATTACTTCTACATTCAAATTATAAAAAAGTATCCCTTATCTTCAGGCAAACAAAATATACTGGAATGAACCTTATCGGGGATGTGCAAAAATTGATCACCGATTGTGCCTGGATGAACGGCGAGTGTAATTACAATAATTTCTTCAATCCAAACATTTGTCATGTTTGCAAAAACGTAAACGAAAAACCGATAATTTGCGACAACTGTCACATGATCTCCTATTGCACTATAAATCATAGAAACATGCATTTTAAGCAACACCAGCAATTTTGCGCATATCTAACAGAATACATAAGAGAAAACGATAGCATGAAATGGCGCATTTGTCTTTCAGAAACGCCCAACTGGATTGCGTCAAGAAGAAAATTTTTGCATGTAATTACGCAACGGCTTCCACGTAGTATGGAACCGTACGAAATACAAATGATCATTTTCGCAAGATCGTGTTGTATTTGTCATCAACAGAGTTATATAAAGTCCTGTAGAAAATGCTATTCCGACAACTACTGCCCTAATCATATGGAAGCTTTTGAAAACAAACACGCATCAAAATGTGAGGAGTTGATGTTATGTCTCAATTTAGATATCTTAAATATCATTCCTACAGAATTACAACGATTAATTGAATTTCCTAATGAATCGAAACATCTTGATGATATGAATGAATATGTTTTCAATTGTGTACACTCTTCTATTAAGGACTTGGTCCGTCCAACAGAAAGTTTTACAAAGTTCGCATATTTCTGTTCCGATTACGTATCAGGACCATTCACGCTCTATGATGGTATGAATAAAGCAAAGTTATTATACTCTTTGACAAGATCTCAATATGTTATCCATGTAATATCAGCAAACTCCATTGAAAATAAATATATGAAAGCTTGGGAAATTTTCCATCATAATTCACCGTGGATAAAGGAGCTAACAGTTGTACTGGTAGGAAAAGAATTAGAAACTCAAGATATAAGTTTGGAAAGTTGTGACAGCTGCAAGTCCCGAAATCAGAAGATTACAGTTGTGTGTCGTCCTGGATCTTACCACGAGTACACGACTGATCCAACGTTTCAACAACCAAATGTGATCATAATATTTCAAGCACATTTGGATTCAATAAGCACATTGCAAAAACATAACTTATTGACAGCTTATTCACAGCGCATAAACTGTCCGTATATTCTAACAGCCGCATCGCAATCTATAGCAGAAGAGAACATAAAAATCATACAAAAGATTCTAAATATAAATCCTATATATAATGCACCAAACAATTTCATGTCTCTTTATCCATTCAGATTGTTACACAGAGATTGTGTCGGTTATCGTAATTCGCATGTAACTGTGTATCGGAATTTACATCCTTCATAAATACCATTTTAAACGATTTGAAGCTCTCTTATGCGATTTCCATATCATTCGTATTATTGTAAAAAATATAAAAAATAGATTGCCCTCATTAATTATATATAATATTTTTATAATATATAATCTATTTTTTATGAATTATGATGTTTCTAATAAAGAATTTATTTAACTGCTGTCTCCTTCTTTTTTGTTGTTGTTGTCTTTTAATTAAAACGTACTGATAGTGATAAACATGTACATCAAATGTATGAAAACATCCCAAAATAACATGTTGCTTTTATACGCCCACACAGTAGAGGTGTCCAAAATATATCATAGGGATATCCTAAAGATATATTTGGGATATGTGATATCTTCAAGATATCCTTATGATATATTTGGGACATTTCTGCTGTGTGGGCGTACACGCGCGTATATACACATTTATATACAGGATGTCTCATTTTAAATTGCGATGTTTCGAAAACCAAGGTTTTCACTGAAAAATGTTGCAAACAAAATTAATACGGTTTCAAGGGAATGTTTGATGGCGCTACTTATTTGACCTTCAATGACTTTGCTAAGATGTAGAATTTTATCTAATTTTTTAAAGAGAATTATATGTAGATCTTTTAATATAAATTGACTTGTCTTGTTATTTCGTGTATAAAAGTATTCAAGTGAAAAATATATAATTTAAAAGTGGATATTTTACAAAAGATTATAACTCATATTCCGATATTTTTCAATATGAGATAAGAAAAGTCTTATAACTTTTAAACTCTTCGACAATATTATTTTCATACTTGTATACGCTGCATAACAAAGAAAGTAGATTAATAATGTTAATCTGTGTATACTGATCCCAGAAAACACAGAAAATTCAAAATTATTAGTGTACCATTTGTCCAAATTTATTTTCAACAGTAATATACTATAATATACTATAACATAATATATTATTATTACAAATAAAGTATCCGTTATCGTAGGCGAAAAAAATGTCAACACACAGAATTTGTGTCACGTACTAATGTATTTTGAACCGCGAGAATAAGAAATATTTATTGGATCGCGAGAAATATTTATTGGAGATGCAATTTCCATATCATTCGTATTATTGTAAAAAATACAAAAAATAGATTGCCCTCATTATCGCTACTCCGTCCTCGAAATCCCATCCCTGCGCTCACGGACTTGATGAACGGAGCATTAGGGTGCCGGGTATGAAGCAGGGGAGGGGGTTTCGATGTTCAGCCATGTTTAGATGAACCACTTATGCTGCCATCTACTCGGCAATGGTAACATTATTTGGAATATTAAAGTGATCTAAGTGTTGATGGTAAATGGTATTAGATTTATTACAAAAAAAACCATGTCATTACACTTAATTCAAAATATACTGTGCATAATATTACACAAATCTTTTAAATGTATATAAAGATAAGTTATTTGCAAGTTTAATTAATCATTGCAACGACCAAAGTTTTTTAACGTCTCACAGACCGCACTTTATGAAAAGTATTATAAAATATATTAATATTCGCTATTTTTATATTGCAAAACAAAGAAATACCGTTGTAACACAAAGACATTTATTTAATAAATTAATATTATTTAAAGGACACTCAATTTTTATGCGTACATATATTATTCTCATTTTTATGTATAAATACCTTTCTGTATTATCACATGATTACGATAGGTGATACAAAGTATCGATAAGTGGCATCATTAGTGGCCCATATAAACATGGCCGACGTTCTAATCCCTCTCCCCACCATTGCTTTACCCCCTCAAATCTATGCTCCGTCCTTCATGTCCATGCTTGCGTCCATATGTTCCCCTTTTATATCTTTCACTTTATTTCATCGACTCTCTACCCGAAGAAAATATAAGTAGTTTTTACTTTTAATAAAAAATTCTTTCAAATTTTGCTATGCTTTTAGTAACGCAGGAATAGACTGTTAATAGTGTTTTTTCTTGTTAATGAACATAGTAAAAATTTTTAATAGTATGTTTTACTGTTCCTATAATATAAGTAACACATTTGTGAAGGAGAGAAAATAAATTCAAACAGCATGTCGATGTATTCCACAGTACAAAGATTCTAGAACTTTTACTGTAATATTTTTTCTTGTACTGGGTATAAAACCGATTTTTCAAATGTAATCTAGAGACAGTGATTTGCAGTGAATGCATCCACAAGACAAAGCACGCGCCGTGAAGTCGACTATACAGGTTTCTTAACCTCCGCCCACGAAGTACATAGCGTTATTCCTTATGAAAAATTGAATCGAAAAGTTCTGAATCATTTTTGTCTTTGATGCTTTACGATACAGATATTTTTTAATAAATGTCAGCAAATCCGAGTAAGAAGTATACACGCTGTGAGCTGCGCGCCTGGTAGTGTGCGTGAATATAGTGGCGAAACATTCATGCACACTCCAGGCGCGCGGCTCACAGACGTGTATACTTCTAAAGAATGGCACGGATTTGCTGGAATTTATTAAAGAATATCTGCTTTAATAAGCATCGAACACAAAAATGTTTCAGGACTTTTTGACTCACTTTTTCATAAGGAATAACGCTATATGCTTCGTGTGCGGAGCTTAAGAAACACCTTGTATATACTTATACGATATGCAAAAATAATAATATTAAAATTTTGTACTACTTAATAACAATAAAGAAATAATAATTACTAAGATTTTTATGAATCCAGCTCCAATAATTTTAATCTTGGTATACGTTAAAAGACTATGTAATAAATGTTAATTGAAATGCATTTGAAAAATACAATAGACAATAAATTGTATCTCTTTCAAGAGTCATGAAGAATTTATTTAGCAAATTCCTAAACATTGTCTATTTTCCGGAATATTTCGAGTGAATACCCTTTAAACTATTGTATCAGTCGTTTTGATAATAACATTTTAAAAACATGCAAATTTCCTATTTTTCTCCATGTTTTCTTTTTGTTTCATTTTTATTCCGTTTATTATATATTTATTATATATTATATATTAATTATATTATGACATTTATATTACATTTACCTCATAATAATTATTATTATATTAATGCTTTATTTATTATAGTATTATAAAATACAATATAATAATAATACATTTTTTAAGAACTCCATACGTGTTTATGCACAATATTCAAGTTGCGAACGGATATTCGTAGGTCATTATAACTTTGTATACCGTTCAACCGATTGTCAACTACATTCGTGACATTCCAGGAGACTTGCAAATAGCTTCTCAGTGCTCGCCAAACAGTTCCCAATTATACATCTGAACTGTACAAAGAGAATTATTTTACTTCTATTCAGGTACCATACTTCACACACACAAGTCCAAATTGAAATTACAAATACATATTCATTATCTTCAAGTAAATAAACTATACAGGCATGAACCTTATCATAGATGTACAAAAATTGCATGCCGATTCTAATTGGGTAAATGGTCATATTAATTATAATAATTTCTTTTATCCAAATATTTGTCACGTTTGCAAAAGAAAAAATAATGGTATTTTGATATCATGCGATAAGTGTTACATGATCTCTTACTGCAGTGAGAGACATAAACAGAAGCATTTTAAACAACACGAGCAATTTTGCGCATATTTAACAAAATACTTAGAAGAGAACGGTAGCACGGAATGGCGCCTTCGTCATTTCGAAACGTCCGAATGGACTGAGTCAAGAAGAAAATTTTTGCGTGTAATTACGCAACGGCTTCCACGTAGTTTGGAGCCGTACGAAATACAAATGATCATTTTCGCAAAATCGTGTCGTATTTGTCATCAACAAATTAATATACATCCCTGTGAAGAGTGTTATTCCGACAACTTTTGCATTATTCATATGGAAGATTTTGTAAAAAGTCACGCATCAAAATGTGGAGACTTGTTGTTAGGTCTCAATCTGGATATATTAAATATGATACCTGTAGAATTTAAACAAATAATTGATTTTCCCAATAAATCGATTTTTCCCCTTGACATGTTTGATTTTATTTTCAATTGTGTACACAGTTCTTATAGGAACTTGGATGATTCTTATAAAATTCTTACAAAATTCGCATATTTTTGTTCCGATTATGTATCAGGACCATTCACGTTGCTTAATGGGATGAGAATAGCACAGTTATTAAACAGAATAGCAGGACCTCAATGTGTTATCCACGTAATATCAGCAAACTCCATTGAAAATAAATATGTAAAGGCTTGGGAACTTTTCCAGCATATTTTATATAAGATAAAGGAGCTAACAGTTATACTGATAGGAGAAGAATTAAAAGCTCAAGATATAAATTTGAAAAGTTGTGACAACTGCAAATCTCAAAATCAGAGGATTAGTATCGTATGTCGTCCTGGATCTTACCAAGAGTATACGACTGATCCGATGTTTCAGCTACCAAATGTGATCATAATATTTCAAGCACATTTTGATACAAGAAATACGTGGCAAGAAGATAAGTTATTGGTACCACAGCGTATGAACTGTCCATATATTCTAACAGCTGTATCGCAATCTATAGCGGAAGCGAATGTAAAGAATATAGGAGAGATTGTGAATATAAACCCTATACATTTTGGACCAAACTGTTTCAAGTCCCTTTATTCATACAGACAGATGCATACTGATTGTGTCGGCTATCCTAATTCGTATATAACTGTGTATCGGAATTTACAACCTTCATAAAAACTATTCTAAATTATTTGTAGCCCTCTTATGCAATTCCTATATCACTTGTATTATTATAAAAAGTACAAAAGATAGATTTCCCTCATGAATTATAAATATTTTTGTAATATATAATATATAATGTAATAATATGTAATATATAATGTATTTTTTACGAATTATGGATATTTCTAGTAAAAAAACTTATTTAACTGCTCTCTCTTTCTTTTTTGTTATTGTTATTTTATTGTTGTTATTGTCTTTTAATCAAAACTTATTGATAGTGGTAATCGTGTACATCAAATGTATGAAAGTATCCCAAAACAGCATGTTGCTTTTGTACGTACACGCGCGCACACATACACATATATACAGGATGTCTCATTTTAAATTACGCATTGAGATTTTTTGATAACCAGAGGTTCCATTGAAAAATATTACAAACAAAATTAATGGAGTAAAGGGACCAAAAGCGACATACCACTCTGTTTTTTGAAGTTATGTCTTAATGTAAAGCTCAAAATATAAATGTAAATATATATAGATGTAGTTGGAAGTACCTCCTATCAGATAATATCATATTTTTACTGAAATTATTACTATATTTAAAACAGAAAATGTTTTTGTAAAACGTACGAAAATGGAGTTTTGTAAAACACTAAGAAAATGGGTGCCAAAAGCGACATACCTATTGGAAGTTATGTAATATGTTGCATATATGATAATATTTGATAATAAATAGTTCCTTAATGCGTTTAATGGTTGAATAATATTCCTTTATTTAAAATATAATATTACAAAAGGGAAATATAATTAAATAAAAACATATCTTTGGCATTTACATCTTTTTCATTTCTGACATATTTTACATATATTATATTTTTAAACTAAACAGAATTAAACTTTAAAATAGACAAATATCACGTCACAATGGGAGGTTAGAGTCAAGTTATGTTAGTCACAGAGTATCGCATCTATCGCATACTGTACGGAATATGTCATTCTAAGACACATTCTCATAAAATTTTTCAAGTTATATAGTAAAAAATAATGAAGATAAAAATATTTTAATAATATTTGTACAAAAGCCAAATGCATGTAGAAGAATTTAATATTAAACAAAAAGATTATTATCGCAGTTTGGTCTAAGTAATTTGTCAATAAAAATCAAAGAAATAAAATTATGAATTTCTAAAACTCGATATTTGCTAATTTAGCATATAAAAGAATAAGAAATATACTACATATAAATTTTTCATGACTTAACTGATAAAATGAATTACGTTTATATTAGTTTCGATAAAATACAACATTTAATATATGAGATATAGAGGTATGTCGCTTTTGGCTACTTTCCTCTACGGTTTCAAGGAGACGTTTGATGATGCTACTCATTTGACCTTTAGTGACTTTGCTTATGATTATGTAGAATTTTATTTAATTTTTTTAAGAGAATTATATGTAGGTCTTTAACATAACTTGATTCCTCTAGTTATTTCGTATATAAAAGTGAAAAATATATAATTTAAAAGTGAATATTTTACGAGATATTATAAGTCAAATTCCAATATTTTTCAATACGAGATAAGAAAAGTCTTATAACTTTTGAACTTTTCGACAATATTATCTTCATACTTGTATACGCTGAATAACAAAAAAAGTCGATTAATAATGTTAATCTGTGTACACTGATCCCAGAAAACACAGAAAATTCAAAGAGTTTCAAAATTACTAGTGTAGCATTTGTCCGAGTTTATTTTCAACAGTAATATATTATAATATATTATAACATAATATATTAGTTTTACAAATAAAGTATCCGTCGTTGTAGACGAAAAAAAATATCAGCTTCCAGAATTTGTGTCATGTACTTTATTTTGGACCGCGAGAATATATCGTGCTTGTGATCCGAACAAACCTACCTTTTTACAAAAAAGATAAAAACAGACGCCAAGTTCACGCGCTTGCCTGCACGAGTGGAATTATACCAAAATTAATGTTTCTATAAAAAATATTTTATTTGCAAAACAACACAAAATATATTAATAAGGCATATTATTGTTTAAAATTCTATTTTATACAAAAAAATTGATATCACATAGGAGCCTAGAGTCTCTGTAACATAGAGTCTGGTCACTCGCCTAGTTTTACATAAACATAACGGTAGTGTATACATGTATATGTATGTAGTTTCTGCTTACCGATAAAATAAAATGTAATAAAATTTTCTGACTACAAACTGATAATAAAAGTAAGTATAATTAGTATTAATATTAATATTAATATTCATGTTGGCAATATTTCAAAATATAATTTTTTTAATAATATAGAAATATATTTATTACATAATGTAGCTAGTTACATAGTACATAGTATTGCTAAGAGTGCTAAAAATGCAATATGCGTAAATTGTTTAAATATAAATTATGTGTTAAAATATAAGCAAAGTCCTTATGTAAAGACGCTAACCGCGTCGACTTTTATTAATTACAAAAGATTTAGTACATGAAAGAAGAATAATAACAAACAAATAAATATAATTTGCAAGACGCCCTCACATGAATAGGATTTTGAAGACGAAACCGCGCCGTTAAATATATGAGTTTGACATGCACATACAGCACAGATGCTTGCAGCAACATTGCTGCAACGTTACAATTAGGGATGTACCGGATACTGAATTTGCCGGATACCGGATATCGGATATCCGATAATAACCTGATATCCGGTACTAAAAATCCGGTTTTCTAAAAAATTTCTATATTAACATTTACATAAGTAATACATTACATAACGTTTGCCTATGTTTGCCATATAATTTAAGGAGACTAGAACGGTTTTATCTTCCGAAAATTGAATGAAATTCGAATGACTATTGTCGACAAACAAGTAAATGTACACAAGGTTTGTTTTTTTTAGTTTTTATACATACTTTATACATAGTTTTATACATACTTTATACATACTTTTAGGAATGCAATAAGCGACAGAAGTTCAAAAAGTATTAATAATTGAGTAAGATATTGTTAAATTAAAAAAATGTTTTTGCAGTTTTGCCACGACTCCGGGAAAACGAGTTGGAATTTTTAATGCGCCAAACGTCATTTTGTAAATGAGATTTTCCTCTATAAATTGAACCGAAATAGAACGAAAAATCTAAAAAATGAGAGAAATAGCGGATAAAAAACTAAAAATGTCTAAAAATTCATGTTATTTGCTGTTAAAACGGTATTAAAAAATTAATTTTCATATGCAAACTTCGGTTCAATTTATGCAGTACGTCTTTATCTTTAATTTAAAAAAAAAGATCAAGTCGATATCTTTAGCCGTTCTTGAATAATCGTGGCAAAACGAGCGGAAAATGCTATTTTGAAGAATAAACGACCGACTTCTATTACTGACCGACTGTTCTCGTCTCTTTTGTTGTTACTCTTATATTTGTTAGCAGTGACCTCCACACGTCTATAACCTTTGTTTTCGATATTATTTCTAAGTTTTAAAATCGATATTACTGTTTATCAGTTTGTTTTAAATAAACAATTGCATTTCTTACACTACATGATCACGCACGCTCCGCCGGGCACCCGCCGCCTCACATTTTTCGCTCTCCTGAACTTAATTTTGCGAATATCGAGGTACATTTTGCGCTAAAATATTCTTAAAGAATTGTACTAAATGATAATATAAAAACCCAAAAAAAAGCTTTTGTAAAGATTTCAAACCGTTCTAGTTCCCTTAATACATAATTGGTCATTAAAGTCGACCATAAGATGTTTATACAGAACATTTACACAACGTAGATTACAACGAAACTGTTCCAATTGTACACAGATTCAATTGCACACTACCGACCGGTACTCTGTACTTTATCTAGTTTAGTAATTACTAAACCCAATTATTACATCTAACTAATCATTACACTCTGTGTCCAATCGGGCTGTGTAACTAAGCCTCACCCCTTACAACAGAGTTTTTATTCTTATGGCTCTTACAGACCAGCGCGATGTGCAACGCAACACGTGATATGTGACGAGCGATATCCAATTAGAATACTGATATTCCGGTAAAACTGTACTCTCATTGGATATCGCGCGTCGTATATCGTATATTATGCTGGTCTAAAAGAGCGGGTTATTCAGCATTGCCAAACATTGTTGAAAATAAATCTTCAGAAAGATTATACAGTTTATATTACACAGTTGACTTAATAAAAGATAATTAGTTTGTTTGTTTTTAGAGAACCTTGGATTTTAAATCCTGTATTAATGACACAAACTTTCAAGCTTATACTAATATATTAATATTCGGTTATCCAGCCGGTTACCAGATAGTTGCTGGATATCCGGCACATCCCTAGTTACAATAGTGCATATTGCAGTGCAATGTTGTAGAGACATTACAGAGACATAGATTGTTTTATATTTATTTCATTTATATTATATATTCATTATATATTATGAGATTTATATTATATATTTATTATTTTATCATATATATTATTTATATTAATATATTTATATTATTATATTATATTTACCTTATTTATTATTATTACACTAATACATTATTTATAGGTATTATAGAACACAAAATAATAGTAATGAAATTTTTAAGAAATTTACATGTGTTTATGCGCAATATTCTAGTTGCGAACGGATATTCGTAGGTCAAAACTGAAATTAAAACTTTGTATGCCACTGAAATTGTCAACTACTTTCGTGACATTCAAGGAAACTTGTAAACAGTTTCTCAGTGTCCGCAAAACAGTCGCCAACTATACAATATCTAAACCGTGTAAAGAGAATCATCTTACTATTGTTCAAGGTACCGTATTTTACACATAAATTACTTTAAAATTGAAATTACAAAGAAATATTCATTATCTTCAGGTAAACAAAATACAGGCATGGACTTTATAATGGATGTGCAAAAATTGCACGCCGATATTAATTGGTCGAACGGCGATATTAATTATTATAATTTCTTTCATCCAAATATTTGTCACGTTTGCAAAAGTAAAAATAATGGCGTTTTAATATTATGCAATAAGTGTTACATGATCTCTTACTGCAGTGAAAGACATAAACAGAAGGATTGGGAAGAACATCAGCAATTTTGCGCGTATATAACAGAATTCGTAAAAGAGAACAGTAGCATGAAATGGCGCTTTTGTCGTTTAGAAACGCCCGAATGGATTGAGACAAGAAGAAAATTTTTGTATGTAATCACGCAACGGTTTCCACGTAGTCTGGAACAGTACGAAATACAAATGATTACTTTCGCAAAATCATGCCTTATTTGTCATCAACAGATTAATATACAACCCTGTATAAGATGCTATTCCGACAATTTTTGCCCTATTCATATGGAAGTATTTTTCAACAATCACGCATCAAAATGCGGAGAGTTGATGTTATGTCTCAATCTAGATATCCTAAATATCATACCTACAGATTATAAAAGATTAATTGAATTTCCTAATAAATCGATACTTCCCGATAACATGCTTGAATTTGTTCTCAATTGTGTGTACTGTTCTTATAGGAACTTGGACAATTGTAACCGAGTTTTTACAAAATTCGCATATTTCTGTTCCGATTATGTATCAGGACCATTCACGTTATTTGATGGAATGAGAAAAGCACAGTTATTAGATCTTCCTAATATGGCAGGACCTCAATGTGTTATCCACGTCATATCAGCAAATACCATTGAAAATAAATATATGAAGGCTTGGGAACTTCTCCATCATCTTTTGTATAGGATAAAGAAGTTAACAATTGTACTGATAGGAGAAGAATTAGAAACTCAAAATATAAATTTGGAAAGTTGTGACAGCTGCAAGTCTCGAAATCAGAGGATTAATGTCGTATGTCGTCCTGGATCTTATCAAGAGTATACGAGTGACCCAATGTTTCAGCAACCAAATATAATCGTAATATTTCAAGCACATTTTGATACAACAAACACATGGCAAGAAGATAGCTTATTAACACCGCAACGTATGAACTGTCCATATATTCTAACAGCCGGATCGCAATCTATAGCGGTAGAGAACATAATTAACATACAAAAGATTATAAATATAAATCCTGTATATAACAAACCAAACAATTTTAAGTCTTTTTATCCATGCAGACAGTTGCACACTGACAATGTAGGTTATCGTAATTCGCATATAACTGTGTATCGGAATTTATATCTTTCATAAAAACCATTCTAAACGATGTGAAGCCCTCTTATGCAATTCTCACATCATTTGGATAACATTAATACGGAAAATAGAAAAGACAAATTATTCTTATGAATTATAAATATTTTTATAATATATAATCTAGTTTTTATGAATTATGGATATTTCTAATAAATGACTTATTTATGTATTCCCTCTTTCTTTTTTGTTCTTCTTTTCTTAATTTTCTTTTCTTTTAATCAAAATATATTGATAATAATAAACGAGTACATCAAATGCATGAAAGTATCCCAAAACGGCATGTACTTTAATACACACGTTGTACACGTAATGCGCGCATTACATATTGAGATTTTTTGAAAACCAAGGATTTCATTGAAAAATGTAGCAAACAAAACTAAAATCGTTTCAAGGGAACGTTTAATGATGTTACTCACTTGATTTTTAGTTTGCTTAGATTATGTAAAGTTATATCTAATTTTTTAAATAGCGTAATATGTGTGTGTGTGTGTGTGTGTGTGTGTGTGTGTGTGTGTGTGT